CCCCCCCCCCTCCCGCCGCCTCGGTCAGGCGCCCCATGTGCCGCGCGCAGGGGGCTCAGCGCCGCCAGCTCTGCCGCCCGCGAGGGGGAGGAGCAGGTGCCCCCGGCCGCCCGCCCCGCCCCGCTCTCGCCCCGCCCGCGTCCCTCGGGAACGCGCGCGGACCCCGAGCTTGGGCCGCGGCCTGGGCTCCCGGGCACCGCGTCCCACTAGCTCCTGGCTGCGATTTCCAGGCGGCGCTGATGTTTCCGCTCCCGGGGAAGATCCATCCGTTCTCTAATTGGGCGAACTTCTTCCTAGAGAGTGGTCCCAGGCTCTTGTACCCTGGCGCCGTGCGCCGTGCTGGGACGTTCCATCCGGACAGCCGGGATACACCTGCACTTGGTGTGGCTCTGCCCCACCCAGGCTACTGTAAGGTAATGTCCCGACGAGTGGCTGGATCTTCCTTCCAGATTCGTTCTGAAGAACTTCTGGGAAAGAATCGCCCGCGTCGCCCTGGTCACTTTTTCTGTCCAGTTGGGCAAGTAAGAGGTGAATGCATACAGTAAGATTGCCCCCACTTCCGTGCATTCTACCGGAGCCGGTGTCCTCCGGACACGGATGCCAGGTCAGCGCAGAATGTGGGACGTCGGAGGGGAAGCTCGAGGAAGGAGGACGTGAGGAAATGCGAAAGGAGAAACGTTTAAACAGACATAGGCAAACTCGCCATCAGGCTAACAGTAACTCTTTCTAGCCGGGAAGCTCCTATCCCAATGTTTTCCGCTCTCAATCTTTATCTTTCCCTTCCCCCCTCTCCCCTTAATACGCAAGCTTTCACCTAATAGCTCTTCTCTTTGCCTTTAAATCAATGCAGTTAAGGCAGGCTCTGGAATCAGGTTACTGAAATTCAAACTCCAAATTCCTGACTCCACCCGTTGTATAAACTGTGTGGATTTGGGCAGCTTAACCTCTGTATGCCTCAGTTTCTTTGGTGGGGTTAATTTAAAAACAGAAAAGAAAAGAGAAAAGGGAGGGAGGAGAAGGAGAGGGGGAGAGAGAGAGGGAGAGAGAGGGAGAGAAAGAAAGAGGAACGAAAACTACCTCTGGGACCAGCAGAAGGTGTAATGGCTACGTTGCTGGACTCCCACGTAGTGGATCATGGTTCCATTCCCAGACAGGTGGCTTAAAACTCACGCTGGGGGCATGTGCTTTCTTCCCCAAAATCCTGAGAGGAGGCTGGAGGAGAAGAGACTGCAGTATGGCGGTCCCAGGGGGTGGGTGGTGGTGGTAGGGTTGTGGTTTCTAGCTTTCCATCTCTCTGTCTCTTTCTCTCTGGTGAGCGCATGAAGCCTATAGCAAATCTGTCTCTTAAAAACAAACAAAAAAAAGCACCTCATAGGATTATGGAGAGATTTAAGTGAAGTCGTCCACGAAAAACATGTTCAGGCCCCAAACAGTTTGTCGGCCCCAAGTCAGCGTGTTATCTCCATTCTAGAGACCGCAGTCTCCCCAGTCCAGCAGAAGAAAGTCTGCGGGAGCCAAGGAAGTGATCTGTCAGATAGAAGGTTCTTTTGGACCCGAACCTTAGCAGCCGGTAGGGTAGGACCACTGGGCAACCGTCTTGACCGAGGTCCTCAAGATACTGTGAGGAGTAGAGGCAGAACGGCACCAGAAGAAAGGAGGACCAGGGCACGCGGCCCTTCTGCTCCTGGGATCATGGGGGAAACTTAGGGTGATAATTCTTGTAGGGAACGGAGGGAGCCGGTGAGGGGAGTGTGAAGAATATCTGAGGAAAAAAATAAAATACAATGGCAGAAGATTGACAAAATTACGAACAACTCTAAATAGGGATTTAAATTGGAAAGGAAAAAGTAAAACTTTATTTGCAAAATGTTATGATATTGCATGGATAAGCAATCCTGAGGATCTTAAGGAAAAGAGCTACTGTGGGACCAGTGGGTGGTGTGGTGGTTAAGGAACTGGACACTCCCACATGGGCGACCATGGTTCAAGTCCTGGACCTGGTGGCTTAGTTTCTCACTTTCTCTCTCTCTGTTTCTCTCTGGTCAAATTAAAAATAAATGAGTGAATAAATAAAATTTAAAATAAATAATTATTTTTAAAAAGAGCTACTGGAACTTCTGACAGGTAACAAGGTCAGTGGAGCAAAAGTCCATTGTTTTTCAACATATTATCAAAGAAAAAGCAGAAAATGGAATTTAAAATAAAATACTGCATGCTCATCCACATCCTCAGACTAAATATTTTGGAGTAAGTTTAGCAAAACATGTACAAGACTTACACACTAAAAACTATGTATCAGTTGCTCCTGAGAGCAATTAAAGACCTGGATAAATAGCTAGTTCATGTTCATTAATTGGAACTCAGTTCCCCCAAAATTCCAATAGAATTTTTCTATTAATTTGACATTCTAAAATTATATGGAAATGCCTAGGAAGAACAAAGCTGGAGCACATACATACCAGATTTTAAAGCTTACTATAAAACTGGTTTTTAGTACAGTATGATAGGCATAGGACAGACGTCTAGATCAGTGAAACAGGAGAGTCCAGGAGGAGACCCATATGGATATGGTCAATTGATTTTCAACTAAGAAACTAAGGAAATTAGATGTGGAATATGTAATTTTGTTCAGTAAATGGTGCTAGAACAACTTGATGGTGTCCATATTTTAAAAACGAATCTTGGGACCAACAGTTAACATGATGGCTATGTCGCTGGACACCCATGTAGTCGAACGCAGTTCGAGTCCTGGACCCAGTAGCTTAAACTCATGCCGGGTGCGTGTGCGTGCGTGCCCAAGATCTCGAGAGGAGAATGGAGGAGAAAGGATTATGGCATGGCCATCCCCCCTGGGGGGGTGATTTCTCACTTTCTGTCTCTCTGTCTCTCTCTGTCTGGCAAGCACACGTGCCCTATAGAAAAAAAACCTCTCCAAAAAAAAGAAAAAAAAATGAATCTCAGGCCAGCCCTATCGCCTAGTGGTTAAAGGAACTGGATCTCACATGGCCAACCATGTTTTGAATCCCAGCCCTCAGCGGCTTAAGAAACACACTGGGCACACATGCATCCCTGCCCCCAAATCCCAAAAGGATGGAGAAGGGTTTGCAGCATAGCTGTACCTCATGAGGGTGTGCGACATTGTTTTCCCTGGGGGGGGGGGGGGGGGGGGTACTTTTTTCCTCATTCTCTTGGTTTTTCTCTCTCTCTGATGAGCACATGTACCCAATGGCAATTAAAAATAATTTTTGTTTTTCAAAGTCAGAATCTCCCTGTTGTG